CCCCACACCATCACAGAACCGCCCCCATGCTTAACTGTCTGTTGGACTTGGTGGCTCCGAAGGCTGGTGCCCTCGCGAATCCAGGCGTACGCACGTCCGTCGGAGCAGTAGCGGTTAATCTTCGTCTCGTCAGACCAAATCACCCGCTTCCAGTCCTCCAGCGTCCAGTCGGCATGCGCCCGCGCGAAGTCGAGACGATCGCGGATGTTTTTCGGTGAGAGCCTGGGTTTCTTGGGCTGATGCACGGCGATCAGCCCCGCGGATCGTAAAGAGTTGCGGACCGTCTTCGAGTCTACGGCGAGATCGTGCTTCTCCAACAACATCTTGGCCGCGTCTGAAGAGCTTTTCGCCTCGCCGCTAGTAATCGCACGTATAACTCCGCGCTGGAGACGGGTTGTGATTAAGCGGGGGCGGCCGGCCGAAGGCATCGTAGGTCGCACCTCCTCGCGACTAGTCTCCTCAGCGAGTTTCATACCGTAATCGTGCACGGTGCTCTTGCCTATGCCAAGAAGTTTCCCTATTTTCCTAGTCGAATGCCCCGCACGCAACATGCTTCTGATCCTCGCGCGCTTCTTCTCATTTAACGGCTTCATAGCGATGCGGTCGTAGGCTCGCTTCCGGACTAACAACTAAGCTAGGAACTGGTGCGCGTGACGATGTACACACTGAGCGACGGGGGAAAATAGATCTACTCTTCCGCTCGGTAGGAAATGTCCACATCGACAGTCGAGTAGTAAATTTCAACCCCACTTTCCGTTAGTGTCACAATCGCGCCAAGCAAGAAACGGATGAAGCAGAACTCAAAAACCGAGTAACAGAATGGAAAAAAACGGGTGTTACTATTTTCGAAACATGTGTTGCATAACGATACGTTTCAAAGTGTTAAACATCCGGGCAATTTAATCCGCCACTGTACCAGCCACAGTCCAACTGGCTTCCGATTTCATTGCCATCATCCACCATCTTGTACATTGACCACACAAGCGCCCTCTTGGACATCCAACATCATCACAAGCACTTGGCAACTCATCACTACCCTTCTCGAGACCATAATCTCGACATCAGCCAACTTCCGTCCAAGCTTGAACCTTGCTTCTGCGGGACTATACCCTTTGAAGCGAAGGCCACTTCATTCAACTTCCGCTTCCGCCTACCAGCCACTTGGAAGATCCATACCGCCTTCCATACCAGCTTCTTAAACCCTATCAAGACCAAACACGCTCTACACCGAATGCCAACCACTGTCGTCGCCGTGTTCATCCACGACATGGGACAACTACGTGCTTGGACACCGTCGTCGTGAGAATGGCACTCTGGAGCTTCTTCTTTGCTGGAAGGGTTCTAATCCTTCCAAGGCTGTATCTCTGAACTCGACATGGGTAACGCCCGTCGTCCTCTTCGCGACTACCTTGTCAAGCAGGGTGTTACTTCTACCACCCAGCTTTGAGGGGGGGAAGTGTGAGAGTACGACCCCGTTACAACCAATTCCCCCTTTCCATATTTCCTTTCTATTTCATTCCTCTTTTTATCCTCATTCATTTGGTCTTTACCCCATCTCATTTGGTTTCCTATTCCTCATTTTCCAGTATCCTTTGGTTTATCCTGTTATTATAATTATATCACCGACCAGGCTCGGGATGTACTGGCGCGCTATATCTAGCGTAATCCTGCCGTAATCCCTTAAAGCCAATAGCCTCGCGTGGCTATACGCATGGTGATTCTATTTCTAGAAGGGTCTATTCCCTTTGGATAGGATAAACCTGGTTACCTGATGTATTCTGGAAGTATAAAAGCACCTTGTACTGATTGATAGTGCAACATTGAACATTGAGCAAACCTTTCCTCGGGACATTCGATCTGTGACAGAAATAGAGGAGTCTTATTCCTTCGACCCCCCCTTTTTGAGCGCTGCTACTCCTGATGCCAATGCCAAGTTTGTCCATCTCACTGCTGCGACTCTTTTGGACGAGGAGGAAACGGACGGTGTACTCGCTGCAGTTGACGGGCAGCATGGCGAGGGCGAACTAGAGGCCGAGCGAGCATCGACTACAGAGCAAACTCAGGGCCGGGGGATGCTGAGATCGGTATGGGTGGAGAGGCGGTCAGTATAGAGGCAGAAATGGCAGGCAGTGGATGGGGTGGAGGCCACGGATGTCCCAAAGGATGCGGATGAGATGTTTGTGGATGAGGTTACTGTTGCACAGTGGTTCAGTGTTCACTTTCACCATGTTATGCTCCGATGCGCAGTTGCTAGACGAGAGGGTAGAGTTATGACCGCGGCGGAGGTTTCCGCTGAGATCATTGGTTGTGCAGATCATTGGGCTGGTGTACACGACCATTGTCAGTCGCACGGGCGGGAGCCCAGGTATAGGACGGAGAATTGGGGCACGCATAATGCGATCTATGCTCGTACCTCAAACACCCACATCAAGTTCAAGAAATGGTTAGAAAAGGTGTGCAGTCCAGCCGTCATGGAGTCCTATGTGCACGGTGGAAGCAATTGGTGCGATGAGTTGTTCCATTCGTTGATTATCAAATATGCACAAAAGCGTGTGCATCATGGCCGTAGCATACAGGCAAGGGTATCACTGTTAGTTTTGCATTGGAACCACCCGGGTTGTCAAGGCGCTCAAGATTAGAAATAGATGAATCACGCGCGTACGGAGAGGGAGGCGGGAGCGTGTGCTAGGGCCCATGGTGTGGACATGGCTGGATGCCATTGTGGAGGAGTGGCGTGACTCCAATCGTCCTCCGGCGGCGAGTCCCCCAGACCCGCGGGACAGTCTGCCTGCTCCCCACACCCCTTTTGCCCCTACGGTGTGTCCCAACACTAGGGCATCTCCAGCCACCCCGATGGCCGGCTGCTTTGCCTTCACGTCCCTAGCTAGGGATGCACTTGGGGGAGATGCAGATGCCCGCACACGGCAACGTGCGCCCCGTCACACACCCCCGTCTGCCGCTCGCCGGATATTTCGTATGTGCCTCTTTATCCGCACAATTCCTGCTATTGTGATTCGGAAGGTGCGGCGTGGACACGTGTGCCAACTTTTCATCTTCCTTGTACCCCAAAACAGGAGAGGATACCGACACGAACTGGCGTGTCTAGCATAGACAGCGCATTATGCAGGCCATTCCGCCGGCCGATACGCCTCCCTACTTGGTGAGTTGGATGTGTTTTGTCCCACAGCAACAGTACCTGGGCTGTCCGTTTGCTGTGCCGTTCATGTCGTGTGTTATATCCTCCATTCCCCTGAACCGGTCGACTCCCTCGCCTTCTTGTAACCTAGAATGTCCCTTTATATCACTGCCCCCCTGCACTCAGGTTCGACGACTACATTATTATTGATGACGACAATGTTGAAAACTCAACAGGCCTGAAGAGACACAAGTCCCTACACCAGGTAGAGGGACATTGCCTTCGCACCCACTCGTGGCACGTCGTGGTTGTTGCAGATGCACCGGCCTGTTTGGGCATGATTCTTGCTGTAAGGTCTGTGCATGCGAATTGGTCTAAAAATGTACACCACGGGGTGGGAGAGTACTTTCCTGCACAAAGCCCGCATATCCACTGCCCTTTTTCTGGCTGACCCCACTTCATACCCTCTTCCCCTGCAGGCCCCGACGCATGGGTAGCTTTCAGAAGGGGAGAAGTTGGGTTTCAGGGGAGCTGGAGTGGCGGCGGTGGCTATCTGGGGAGTTGTGCCTGGTGAAGGCCCCCTTGGGGCGGTAGGAGCAGGCAATGTTGCAACAGGACGGGCTGATGGCACTGCATACCACGAAGTGGCCCCGGCAGCAGATGCAGCAGCGGTAGTGGCAGCAACAACGGATGAGGCAGCGGTGGCTGCACCCGGAGCTGGGCAGAAGGACATGCTGCAGACCACAGATCCTTGGACCGGTGTTGAAAGGTCCCCTGCAGACATAATAGGGAATGGAGGGGAGGAGAATAGGTTGAGGATGCCGAAGGTGGGGGCTGGGGGGTGGGAATAGGTGGAAACGAGGTGGCCAGCAATAGCAGGGATGCTGTGCATAGTTGCGGGAGTGGCAAGGGAGTGGGACCGGAGTGGGAAGGGAGTGGGACCGGAGTGGGGCGGGTGGCGGAATGTAGTGGGGCGGAGTAGGGCTGGCACTGACTGGGGATGCCGACGGTGGGGGCTGGGGGTTGTGAAGGGGTGGAAACGAGGTGGCCAGCAATGGCCGGGATGCTGAGCAGAGCTGTCGGAGTGGGAAGAGAGTGGTCCAGGAGTCAGAGTGGAGTGGGGCCTGAGTGGGAAAAGGGGGGGACTGGAGTGGGTCCGGATGGGGATGGGAGTGGGACTGGAGGGAGAAGGGGGGAGGACTGGAGTGGGAGGGAGTGGGACTGGAGTGGGACCGGAGTGGAAAGGGAGTGGGTGGGACAGGATTCGGAGTAGGTCAGGCGCTGTTAGGGGATGCTCAAGGTGGGGGGCTGGGGGTTGGGAAGGGGTGGAGACGAGGTGGCCAGCAATGGCCGGGATGCTGAGCAATGCTGCCAGAGTGGGAAGAGAGTGGCCCTGGAGTCAGAGTGGAGTGGGACCGGAGTGGGAAGGGAGTGGGACTGGGATGGGTAGGGAGTGGGAAGGATGTGGGACTGGAATGGGGAGGGTGCGGGACTGGAGTGGCATTGATGTGGGACTGGAGTGGCAATGATGTGGGACTGGAGTTGGGCTGGTGGCGATTGGTTTCACAGCCCTGTTTCTGAGCAGAGTGCGGTGCATATGCTGCACACTCTGCGTTGGGGCGTAGAAGCGGAGAACCAGGGGGAATGGGGCTCAATTCAGTGGCGGTTTGACCCCATCGCTACGAGTTGCCTGTGATTCTAAGGATCCGCTGCTGGCTTGGACCCGTCACAGGCATCCACCGGACCCCGTTGGAAGCATCAACTGTAAGAAGCAGTTATCCAGTTGATGGCACCTCTTGGATTCCTGGTGTTTGCAAGGAAACTGCACGATTTTGCGGTGGTGTGTTCGGTGCGTGCTGTTGCATGATCAATATTGATGCTTGTCCTTATACATTACAATCCAAACCCCTGGCATCAGAAGGGCATGGCCCTACACAGTATTATGTAGCTATCTGTGTATCAGATGGAGGTTCTCTCTCTCTTTTCCTATGGCTATCTAAGTTCCTGTGACTGTATCTCTCAGGCTGCTATTTATCCCTAGGTGCCTCACTTGTTGACAAACGGCCCCAACCACTGGCACCCTTGACCCGTTCCTGTTTTCCATGCCGGCACTTGAGCAGCGCCTGAGTTACGGGCGAAGATGGGACAGATGGGCCGAGATGCACGGGGATAGGACGGGTTGGGAGGAGGAGGGAGGAGATAGGATGGGATAGGAGGAGGAGATGGGTGGAGGTGGGTGGAGATGGCGGGAGAATGGACGGGATGTTTCAGCAGATGAGTGGGGATGGTGCGGGATGGGAGGAGCTGAGTGGGGATGGGACGGGATGGGAGGAGCTGAGTGGGGATGGGACGGGATGGGAGGAGCTGGGCGGGGATGGGACGGGATGGGAGGAGCTGAGTGGGGATGGGACGGCATGGGAGGAGCTGGGCAGGGATGGGACGGCATGGGAGGAGCTGAGTGGGGATGGGACGGGATGGGAGGAGCTGAGTGGGGATGGGACGGGATGGGAGGAGCTGGGCGGGGATGGGACGGGATGGGAGGAGCTGAGTGGGGATGGGACGGCATGGGAGGAGCTGGGCAGGGATGGGACGGCATGGGAGGAGCTGAGTGGGGATGGGACGGGATGGGAGGAGCTGAGTGGGGATGGGACGGGATGGGAGGAGCTGGGTGGGGATGTGACGGGATGGGAGGAGCTGAGTGGGGATGGGCCGGGATGGGAGGAGCTGGGTGGGAATGGGACGGGATGGGAGGAGATGAGAGGAGATAGGACGGGATGGGTGGAGATGGAGGAGCGTGGGAGCGGGGCAGCTTGGACGCGTCGTGGGGATGGAAGTCGGCCGGCGCGGGTCAGGGCGGACGGCGATGCTCCCCCTTTGTTTATCGTCCTGTTGCGGAATTGTGGGGCGCGGCGACGATGAGAAGGGTGACGTGCGTCGGGCCTGAGGTCGACGGTGTTGAGGGGCACCTAAACAAGGCGTTGAGGCGGAAGGGAGTAGGGCGTCGAGGCGGAAGCGAGTAGGGTAGCGAGGGGGAAGGGAGTAGGGCGTCGAGGCGGCAGGGAGTAGGGCGTCGCGGCGGAAGGGAGTAGGGCGTCGAGGAGGAAGGGAGTGAGGCGGCGGGGCGGAAGGGAGTAGGGCGGCGAGGCGGGAGGGAGTAGGGCGGTGAGGCGGATGGTGGAAACGCGGAGGTACGGCAGGGAGAATCGCGTGTAGGCGGATGGGAGAAACTCGTCGCGTCGGACTGGAGAAACGAGTCGTGGCGGGCGGGAGGGGGGCGTCAAGGCGGAAGGGAGAAGGACGTCGAGGCGGAAGGTTGAGCGTCATGGGGAGGCGGTTGGGATAGTCGCGGCGAGTCGGGAGGGAGTATCGTGTCACGGCGGAAGTTGGAAAGGCGTCGTGGCGGAAGGGATACGGGCGGCGAGGCGGATGGTTGAAATGCGTGGAGGCGGATAGGAGAAATGCGGAGGGGTGGCACTGAGGCGGGTGCCAGGGCGGAAGGGTGATGGGCGGCCCGGAGGTTGGGAAATGGCGCCGTGGCGGAAGGGAGATACGCGAGATGTGGCGGAAGGGAGATACGCGCCATGGCGGAAGTGAGATACGCGCCGTGGCGGAAGGAGATATGCATCGGGGTGGCAGGGAGAATCGCGGCGTGGCGGAGGGGAGATGGTCGCGAGGCGGAACAGTGGTCCGTTTCGAGGCGGATGGGAGTCCTAAAGCCTTCGCGCACTCCCTCGGAAAGTAGATTCAGCCCCCGCGTTGGTAGGAGCCATGGAGCTTGTCACTGGGTTATGGCATGCTTATGTGCCTGGGGTGCAGGCCTTTTTCTCGAAGTCTGTATTTCCCTGGGTTGCTCAACAAATGCTCTGACGCAGGGGTCCTGGTCGCACGCCTGGTCATTGGGTTTGTCACATTGTTGCAGTTTGGGGTTCGTTGGATGTCTGTCGAGCCGATTCTCGGTTTTTGGTGATCCCTGTTATGATTTAGAAGATGTCAATGAATTAGAACGTGAGAATACAAGGTCGCTATTGCAATGAAAGCACGAGGTTATATAGGAGTAGACGTAATAGGGCGATAACCTCGGGACGTGGTTAGGTTCGGCAATGTGGCGACGCTGTCGGACACGACTCGAGAAAGGGTTGGGTCGAAAATGTAGGCCGAACGTGACGAGTCGAAGTGTTCGGGTGTACGCGGTAGCGGGCGACTCAGTAAGGAATGGAAATTCCTTACACTACCCCCCCCCCCCCCCCCCCCCATTCCTTACGCCGGGCATCGGAGACGTTACGACGCCGATAATACGCTGTTAGAATCGGATGCGATTCTAGGTCAATGAGGGACACCCAACTGTCGTCTTCGGACGTGCGATCGCGCCAGCGGACGGGGAAATCAACCATCCGACGGTTCAGCTGCTTTGTGACGCGATGGCCGAGGATTTTCAAGGGCTCGGTCGTCGGTTCCTGCAAAGGCGTCAATTGCGGTACCCCGCGGTTGCGTGACAAGTCCGATGAACTCGGGACGTAGGGTCGGAGAAGACTGACGTGGAAAGCCGTGTGGTGGCGCCAATCAGCCGGTAGTCGAAGGTGAACAGTGACAGGTGTCACTAGGTTGGTCACTTGAAAAGGTCCGCAGAAATTGGGTCGGAGTTTGCTCGGGATCGGCAGCCGCAGATTGCGGGTGTCGAGGAGGACTAGATCTCCCACTTTGTAAGTGACGTCACGGCGATGACGATCGGCTTGTCGGCTTGCAACTAGGTTGGCTTTCCGGATGGCCTCAGCTGCTTTTTCTCGAGCGGCGAGAATGTCTTCAGCAAATTTCTGGGACCGGGGCACGGGCGACTCGATGGTCGGTGTAGAGGGTACTACTGGGTCCTGTCCGTAGTTGAGGAAGAATGGGGACTGGTTGGTTGTGGCGGAGGTCGCGTTATTATACGTGAATTCTAGTAGCGGAAGGGATTTCTCCCATGTCGATGGTTCAGTACAGGTAGTGCGAATCAGTTGCTCCATGGTCTGGTTGACGCGTTCGGTCTGCCCGTCGGTCTGTGGGTGGTAGGCGGATGAAAATTGGAGTTTGGTGCCGAATTGGTCCCACAGGTGGCGCCAGAAATTCGATGTGAATTTCGGGTCTCGGTCTGAAATGATGGCGGAGGGCAGTCCGTGCAGTCGGATGACGTTCGTGAGGAACAGTTGCGCGGTTTGTTCGGCAGTGATGATCTGTTGGCAGGCAATGAAGTGCGCCATTTTCATGAGTCGGTCAACGACCACGAGGATGGCGTCGTTTCCGCTGGGACCGGCTGGTAGTCCTGTCACGTAGTCCATCGTGACATGTTGCCAGGGTCGCTCGGGCGGATCCAACGGCTGTAGTAGTCCGGCTGCTCGCTGATGCGACGATTTCATAATCTGGCAGGCAGTGCAGGAGGACACGCACGTGCGCACGTCATCGGCCATGTTCGGCCAGTAATAATTCCGCTGCAACATCTTCGTGGTTTTATCGACGCCGAAATGTCATAAGGTAGGGTTGCCGTGGGATTCCTGGATTAGGAGGGTACGAAGTAAGTCGTAGCCCGGCACCCAAAGGCGAGAAGTACCACGCTTATAAAAATATGGTCCGGTGGCGGTGGTGATGGATGGCTGAGCGGAAAAAATGATCGATCTTGTAGCCGTGGGTGAATAGTCCCGTAAGTAATGGGTTGGTCTAGGCGATTAGTATCGCGGCGGTATGGACAGTAGGGCGGGTCAAGGCATCGGCGATATTATTGGCACCCCGTTTGTAGGTGATGGTGTAATGGAAGTTGGACTCGAGGTAATCAAGCCATCGGATCTGTCGCGGATTGAGATTCGGTTGGGCGCGCAGGTACTGTAAGGATTTGTGGTCCGTCCGCACCGTGACATCAGCTCCGGTCAGGTAGCACCGCCAGGTCTTGAATGCGTGGACGATTGCCAGCATTTCCTTGTCGGGTACTGTATAGTTTTTCTCCGCGCCCTGCAGCTTCCGTGATTCGTAGACGACTGGTTGTAACCCGTCGCCGAAATCCTGTAGGAGAACTGCACCGATGGCGATGTCCCTGGCGTCGGTGACGACTTCGTATGGACAGTCGGGATCGGAGATGCGAAGTACGGGCGGCGACATGAGGGCGATTTTGAGTTGGTCGAATGCAGCTTGCCGCTTCTCTCCCCACCAAAAACAGTCGTGATCCGTCAGGCGGTCAGTTAGCGGAGCAGATAACCCAGCCATATTGGGGATGAAGCGGCGGACGTAGTTGACGAAACCCAGAAAACTCTGCAGTTCCTTGAGGTTGGTCGGCGGCTTCCATTCCTGTATAGTCTTGATTTTCTTGGGGTCGATTTTCACTCCTTCGGTAGAGACGACGCGGCCCAAAAACTCCAACTCCTGCTTAAGAAAATCACACTTAGACCCTTTCGTGATGAGGCGATTCTTGTGCAGCAGCGTGAAGACTGCATCAAGATCCTTTAAGTGCAGCTCCCTGCTGCGGCTGTAGATTAGGATGTCGTCGAGGTAGATAATTACGCATTTATCCAGGAGTTCGCGGAAAACACCGTTCATGGTCATCTGAAAAGTCGAGGGCGCGTTCGTGAGGCCAAAGGGCATCACCAGGTATTCGTAACTGCCGTAGCGGGTTCGGAAAGCGGTTTTGTGACTATCGTCGGCGGCGACGCGAATTTGATGGTAACCTCCTCGTAGGTCGATTTTTGAGAAGAACTTGGCTCCGCGAAGTTGGTCGAGGAGATCGTCGGCTCGCGGGATCGGGTAACGGGACTTGATGGTGATGCAGTTGAGCGCGCGGTAGTCGATGCACATGCGGAATCCTCCATCTTTTTTTGGTGTGAACAGTATCGGGGTGGCGTATGGGGACGTGCTGGGTCGGATAAAACCCTTCGTCAGGAGGTAATCTAACTGCTGCTGCAATTCTTCGAGTTCAGGTTGGCTGAGCCGAAATTGTCGCTGTACTGTCGGTTGTGCGCCTGGTTCCAGCTCTATGCGATGGTCTTCGGGTCGGCTTGGCGGAAGTCCGGCGGGTAGGTCGTCCGGGAAAATCTCGGGGTATTTTCGAATGAGTTCCGCTAAATCCGGAGGAATGGCTTCACACAGCTTCGTGATATCTTCGGCTGTTATCGGCGACGTCACTTCGCGAAGATCGACGGCGTATGCTGCTGCTCCCGCTTTTATCGCGCGCTTGAAGGTGATCGCGTGGACTTGGGTACTGCGCATGCGGGGTTCCATCCATTTCGGTAACTCGTGATAGTGCCCATCGATTTTGATGCTGGAGCTGCCCGTCGTCCTGTCGATTCTCGGGTTGTACTGTCGCAGCCAATCCCGTCCCAGCAGCACGTTGCACCCGTCGAGTGTAGTCGCCAGCAGCCCCATCCGAAATTTTACGTGCTCGCCGCAGTGGAAATTGACGTGCTCCACCCGCTCCCGTATAGCCAGCGGTGTTCCATCCACCAGTCTTGCGTCAATTTCGGATAGGCACTTTAATAAGGGGATACCCATTTTCTTAGCCCTGTCTAGCTGTATGAGACTGTGACTCGCGCCTCCATCCACGAATATTTTCAGCAACACCCCGTTGACTTTACCCTCCACCAACACAGGGTGATCAGCAGTTCCGTCCCCCTTATTCGTCCGGGTCTAGTCGATTGCAGCAATCGGGATCACGACCCGGTGGGGACTATGTGGCTCGGGCGAAGAAGTCTGCCCGTCAGTAAGGGGCCTGGTACTTACTGACGCGACCCATTTCCCAGTCGCTCCTCCGGCTTCTTCCCCATAGAATTCTGGGTGGCTATGAACTCTTGGCAGTTGCGTTTGATGTGACCCGGTCGGCCACAGTGGTAGCATAGCCCCGTATTTCGTGGAGCAACTGCGTAAATATCCACTGCGTCCATCCCTTTTATCGTGGTGCGCTGGTACTATTCTCGAGGGCGACCTCCGTCGTAGAAGTTCATCCTCGGCTTCGTGAGCGAGTCAGCGGCTTCGGCGAGTTGGATGAAGTCTTGTAACCGCTTCGCGGGTCGTTGTAATTTTATTTGGTACTGTATTTCAGGCTTCAGCCTGCCCATGTACCTGTCGACCTTCTCCAACTCGTGCATGTAGCCACATCGATCCACCAACGTCAAGAATGACGCGGTGTAGTCAGACACAGATCCCATTTGCTTCCACATGCGTAAAGTCTCGCGCGCTTTGTCTGAGTCAGGAGCATGCTCAAACCGCTTGCGAAGCTCTGCGCACCACGTTGCCCACGTGCGAATGTGAGTTGCACCAAACAACAAATCTCCTTCGTCTTCGTCGCCGAATTCTTCGGACCACTCATGCTGTCCTTCTGTGCTAGTTGCCGCTGAGTCGACGATGACCTTCCACCACTGTAGAGCGGCCCCTTGCAGCAGTGTCAACGCGTGGCTGATCCGCTTCTGGTCGTCTCGGATGCCCGCCGCGTTAAAGTAGATATTCATGGCGAATATCCACTGCCGCACCGTCACGCCTTTATTAGCTGGGTCGAAAGGAGCAGGTTGCTGATATCTCACGCTGCCACTTGTCGAGCGCGGGGCTGTTGCCGCTAGCCGTGCCAGCTCCACTGGTGTCGGTTGCTGCTCACCCGCCTCGCTTCGTGCATCGTCGCCCGGCTCCTCTGAACGCCTTTCCTGCGCCTGGCGAAGTCGTTGGTTTTCGTCACGGAGGTTGTTGACGACGCTTGTCAAATTATTCAACTGCTCCATTAATGCTTGTAGGTCTACTGTTTCCCGGGCAGAGTTCGCAGCAGTCGAGGTTGTCTGTTCCTCAACCGTCGAGTCTACCGGGGCCATGGCGGCCAGGACGGGGCAGAAACTAGCGCACACGCTGTAGTTGTTGACGTAAAAATATTTACGATCGAAGGCAACTGCTGTGCAGCCGTGTTAATCCCCTCTGACCACCCTTAACTAATGAACGGGGAAAACGGAAGGTTCCGAGAAAGGTCGGGCTCTGATACCAGCTGTTATGATTTAGAAGAAGTCAATGAATTAGAACGTGAGAATACAAGGTCGCTATTGCAATGAAAGCACGAGGTTAAATTGGAGTAGACGTAATAGGGCGATAACCTCGGGACGTGATTAGGTTCGGCAATGTGGCAACGCTGTCGGACGCGACTCGAGAAAGGGTTGGGTCGAAAATGTAGGCCGAACGTGACGAGTCGAAGTGTTCGGGTGTACGCGGTAGCGGGCGACTCAGCAAGGAATGGAAATTCCTTACAATACCGTTCCCTCTTTTCGATACCTTCCCTGGTTACTCGTTTTCAATTGTTGAGCAGTTGCCACCTTTTTGGGAAACCTAGACCCCGCGCTTTAATTTTTTAATACGGAGCACCACAGAATCGCCCATGATCGGCGATCCTAGCCTCAGCTCCTCCAGCCATGTCATGGTGTCTATGTGCTTGCAAGCCGATCCACCTGTCGAGCAGGTGATGCTGAGGCTTTTTAGGGAAGGCATGCAAGAAAGGCAAAGAAAACCAAACTCTGACATGTGGCCATCGTTTTTGCTCAGCTGCATGTCGTTCGTTTCAGGCCCAGCTCGGACAATTTTAGCATCGCCATGTCCTGGTGGGTTACACAAAGGCACGTAGATGGCCTTGAAAGAAGCCACATGCGGCAATTTAGCATGGCAAAGGACAGCATGCGGGAGAGCTGAGACGAAATGGTCACATTAGTACGCTCGATCAGTCAACAGCCAGATTCTCACCTCCCAAATTTTCCTCATTTCTTCCTTCTGTTGCGCCAGCGATTTCTTTGCCGGCGCGAGCCGCAAAGCCAATGCAGCCATCTCCCTTTCAGTCTCCTCCCTACAGGCCTTCTCTCGGGGTAGCTCATCCGTAAGTTCACTTATGCTGTTCTTATTCGCCTCCCTCAATTCTCGCACAAATGTCTCCAGATTCTCCATTCTATCACAAAATTGCAGGCTTTCAGGAATTCCTCGCCTCTGGCGCTGTTCATCTTCCAACTCCCTCCACGCATCGTCGAATCGAACGGCTAACCTCGTCCCTACACTCACAATCTCCTCCAAAAGCATTGCGGTTGACGTCGCCATTATGCACTCGACTCGTCTTTATAACTAGAGAAACAGCCAGCCAACACAGAGAGTCGTACTGGAACTTGGAAACTGGGCTTGACAGGGTCGGGGTTAGGTTGGGAGTGACTGGCTAGAGATCCCGGTTCCCAAAGTTAGTGCAGTTCCAAAACGCACGAATTCCCGAAGTCCTGTTAGGGGCGTATTCATAGGAGCCCTTTTGTCGTGCACTTTGACACGTTGTCAGAAATGTTGAGGTGCACTGCCGGTTTCAAAATCTACTCAGACTGGCAACATCGAGTTTCGATGTGTCTTTCGCTCGTAAATTCCATCCGTGAGAAGAAAAGTTTGTGACTCCCACTAGGATGTGTCATGCGGAACACCTCATATGAAATCCCAAGAAAACCAAGCAAACGTGTGCAGGTACTGACAATGTGAATGAAGGAAATTTTACGGTGCACTTCTATCTAATCTGTGTGTCATTATTATTATCATTATAACCATGTAGCTCAGGTGAAGGCGAGGATGCATTTGCATGATGAGCAGTAGGAGGAGAGGGAGAGGGGCATTACTGATTTGAGGAAAGATAAGGAAGAGGTGAAATCTGGCCAGAGCAGAAAGGTGGAGGCAGGAATGCCACTGTCGGCAGAGCAGAGGGAGAGCATGAAAGAAGTTAAGTCGATAGATTTGGAGAGGGAGGATACAAGGCTTTGTATCTAGGTAGCGAATCCTAGGTCAAAGAGGGGTTGACCAACCCAACCATTATTGGGTGAACCCTAATAATGTTTGGGAAGGTTGGGAAGGTTGACCACCAATTATGGGAGGGCCAATAATGTTGGGTTGGCCAACATTGTTGGAACTCTCGAGAATTGGGGTCAAGCTTTGGTTGACCCAACCAACCCCAACCTTCATCTACACTACAACAATAACATACTACATGCTATAGATATAGGATATATTGTAACACAACCCTTTAGCATGTAGAAATGGGAGTGTTGGAGTGGGAGATAAAGGGACAACCCCTGAATCAAGGGGGGGGAGGAGGGCCAAGACCCAAAAGAGGGAGAAGGGCGGAGTGAGCAGAGTGCTTTGGTGAAGATATCAGCGAGATTCGCGGAAGCATCAATTTTCTTCACCACGAGGTGCCCTTGCTGAACGAGCTCACGAACGAAGTACCAAAGCTCAATGTGCTTTG